AGATTCAAAGATTCAAATATTCTATTATTCAAGGATTCTCTGATTCTCTGATCATGATTCTAAGGTTCTATTATTCTAAGATGACTATGATGCTATGATTATGGTTCTATTATTCAAAGATTTTGTTATTCAAAATCCAGTGATTCTATTATTCAAAGACTATGATTCAAAGATTATTATTCAGAGATTCTATAATACAAAGATTCAAAGATTCAATAATACTATGATTCTATGATTCCAAAATATATGATTCTAAGATTTTATGGTTCTATGGTACATATTCTCTGTTTTCAGCTGGCTGACAAGTTCATGGGCCCCTTCCCAATTTTATTTTATTTTTTTATTTATTTTATTTGGTTTGTCAATTGCTTACAAGATAATAGGTATAAGTAAAAACATAGTTATGAATACATGGATACATATAAGAAAAATGAAAGAAACAATAGGACAGGGACGGTAGGCACGTTGGTGCGCTTATGCACGCCCCCTACAGACCTCTTAGGAAAGGGGTGAGGTCAATAGTAGACAGTCTAAGGTTAAAGTTTTGGGGGTTTGGGGAAGAAACCACAGAGTCAGGTAGAGTATTCCAGACATTGACCACTCTGTTGCTGAAGTCGTATTTCCTGCAATCAAGCTTGGTGCGGTTAACCTTGAGTTTGTATCTGTTGTGTGCTCTTGTGTTGTTATGGTTGAAGCTGAAGTATTCATTGACAGGTAAGTCATTGCAATGGATGATTTTATATATCATACTTAGATCAGACCAAAGACGGCGTAATTCAAGGTTTTCTAGGTCTAGAATTTCAAGTCTGGTGGCATAAGGTATTCTGCAACGAGTAGAGGAGTGGAGAACTCTTCTTGTGAAATATATCAGATACATAATGTAGATTCCAGACTGATGAGCTGTATTCGAGTATTGGTCTAGCAAATGTTTTGAATGCTCTAGTTAGTAGTGTGATATTACCAGAGAAAAAGCTACGTAGGATTAGGTTAACAGCTCTTAATGCCTTTTTGGCTATGTAGTTACAGTGGGCTCTAGCACTTATCTTTCTCCTTTTATTATCCTTTTTAAAAAATCTTTCTCCTCCTTTTTTCCTCCTTTCATTAGACCACAGCTGACTTTGTTTTGCTGGGACAGCTGGTGGCTTTGTTGGCCCTGCACATTGGCGACAGCAGCAAAGAAGTTGGCCAGATGTCTGCAGAGGCCGCCTACCACCTCCACCACCTCATCATGAGCAAAATGGGTGAGAAATTGGGACTCCAAGGGAAGACATGCTGCAAGGAGCCCAGGGATGTGCACTGCCCAGGAGAGCATTTGGTGGCACAGCCTGTGTGGTGTGGCCAAGACACTGGTCATTGAGCTGGGCAGAGATGCCTGGAATTTGCAGTTTGATATTGGCACCTTTCAGGGCCATGGGTCACTTCTCATGTTAAGTGGGTCAGTTAGGGCTAAGCATCTGCAATCATCCAGTCTTGGGACATTGATTGTTTCTTAGCGTGTTTTGCAAAGCCACATTGTAGTCATTGGATGGCTGGGTGTATTGCGGGAAGTGAGAAAATGGCTTAACATAGTTACTGGTGGTCTGGGCAGTATTAAGGGAAGAGCTAAAGAGTGCTTATCATAAATTATATGTTCGTTTTATAGTTTGTTAGATTTTGCAGCAGATATTCAAATCCAGAAAGCACACACAAATGACTGATTCGGCAGGATCCATTAACTTCTTTATATACATAATAACATTTGAAGTAAAGTTTACAATACCAATAGTAGATTCTTCCAACGTAACACAAGCAAAACACAAGGAGCAGCTTCCGAGTTCAGAGCAGAGAGTAGAGATAAGCCACGGCCAGACACTCTCTTTAAGTTTCAGTTTCTAATTCAGCTCCCATTGGCTGACCTTGTTAACCATGTCTCTGCCAGTTCATGAATATTCTGACATAGTTTCAACCCCATTTTATGTGTCCTCTAATTTTTAATTGGGAGCCGTCTACAATCAGTTGAAAGATGGGCAGTTATATAAATGCTTCACATAAAGTCAAGGATAGGATAAATACGGCTAGTTGAAAGCTTTACCCAGTGGCAACTTTAAGACACGTGGATTTCAACTCCCAGTATTCCCCAGGCAGCATGGAATCAATTCCGAACCCAGTGCTTCATTTGCACATCAGGCAAATGTAGTCTGGTTTAAATCTGGTTAGATTCATTCATTCATTCATTCATCCATCCATCCATTCATTCATTCATTCATTCATTCATTCATGTAATTTGTTTCTTATGTAACCCTATTTTTTTCTTCTATTTAAAGTCCAACCTATTGAGTTAATCAAGAAAAGGGATTATGATAATCTTTGGTTTACAACAATTCATTTAGTGACTGTTCTATGTTACAACAGCATGGAAAAAAGTGACTTAAGATTGTTTTACACACTTACAAGCATTGCAGCATCCCCATGGTCATGTGATCACCATTTGGGTGTTTAGCAACTGACTCATATTTATGAAAGTCGCAATTAACAACCGTGTTGCTAACTTAACAACTACGATGAATTACTTAACCACAGAGGCAATTAAAAAAATTGCGACGTGGGGCTAAAGTCACTTAACAAGTGTCTCACTTAGCAACATGAATTTTGGGCTTGATTGTGGTCGTAATTCGAGGACTACCAGTAATTGGGCCACTAAAGTAGTCATTGTTGCTGTTTCATTCCTGATCAGTTAGAGAAAGGAAAGGAATAGCAGTGGATGATAAAAATAATTATGTTGGCGGTAGTGATGGAGCCATTGGAGCTCTGCCTGATTTTTTTTGATATTCATCACACTGTGGTAGCCACCAAACAGAAGCATACTTTGTGGGCCTACCTAAATGTAAGTGCCCTGATGCCTTGTAAAGTGTTGTGTGTGTGTGTGAGAGAGAGAGAGAGGGAGTGAAGAGAGAGAGAAAGAAAGAGAGAGGGGGAGGGAGAGAGAGAAAGAGAGAGATAATGAGAAAGAGACAGGGGAGAGTGAAGGGGAGAGAGAGAGAGAGAGAGAGAGGGAGGGAGAGAAAGAGAGAGAGGGGAAAGAGGGAAAGAGAGAGAAAGAAAGAGAAAAAAGAAAGAGAGAGAGGCAGAGGGAAGGAGAGAAAGAAACCATGCCAGGTTTAGCATTTTTGCCACTCTTCACAGCAAGGCTGAGTTTAGCCTGCCATTTTTTCCTTTGCAAATGTTCCTTTAGCAAAGCCATCAGATCAACATGGTATGCCCATGAACCATGCGCGTGCACACACACACACCACTGGGTCTTAAGATGGTGCCAGGTAATGGGAGTTGGGTGAGGTTCTTAGTGCTCTCTGAGCTTGGTTGATTGCTTGCAGATGTTTCATTACCCAGCTAGGTATCTGTACCTGCCAATAGTGGTGTCCCCCAAGGCAGTGTTTTAGGACCAACTCTCTTAATACTCTACATAAATGACCTCTGTGATCATATTAAGAGCAACTGCGTTCTCTTTGCTGATGATGTAAAGCTATTCAACACCACAGACAATACTGCTACCCTTCAAAAAGACCTCGACTGTGTATCAGAATGGTCAAACAGATGGCAACTTCAAATCTCAACAAGTGAATGCTCTGTCTTACATATTGGCAAAAAAAAATCAGAAAATAAAATACAAGCTGAATAGTCAAGACCTTGTTGATGATCCAAACTCTGCAAAGGACCTTGGAATACTCATCTCTAATGATCTAAGTGCTAATGCCCACTGTAACTACATAGCCAAAAAGGCATTAAGAGCTGTTAAGCTAATCCTATGTAGCTTTTTCTCTGGTAATATCACACTACTAACTAGAGCATTCAAAACATTTGCTAGACCAGTACTCGAATACAGCTCATCAGTCTGGAATCTACATTACGTATCTGATATTAGCACAGTTGAGAAAGTCCAGAAATATTTCACAAGAAGAGTTCTCCACTCCTCTACTCATTGTAGAATACCTTATGCCACCAGACTTGAAATTCTAGACCTAGAAAACCTACAACTACACCGTCTTCGGTCCGATCTAAGTATAGTATATAAAATCATACATTGCAATGTCCTACCTGTCAATGAATACTTCAGCTTCAACCATAACAAGACAAGAGCAAACAATAGATACAAACTCAAAGTTAATTGCACCAAACTTGATTGCAGAAAATATGACTTCAGCAACAGAGTCGTCAATGTCTGGAATACTCTACCTGACTCTGTGGTTTCTTCCCCAAACCCCAAAAACTTTAACCTTAGACTGTCTACTATTGACTGCACCCCTTTCCTAAGAGGTCTGTAGGGGGCATGCATAAGCGCACCAATGTGCCTACCATCCCTGTCCTATTGTTTCTTTTATTTTTCTTATATGTACCCATTTCATGTATTCATAGCTATGTATATACTTATACCTATTATCTTGTAAGCAATTGACAAATCAAATAAATAAATAAAAAATAAATAAAATAAATAGGTAACATCAGTGCTAGAAGGGCATGGGGTTTATAGATAGGAGGATCAGAAGGAGTAGGAGGATAGAGAGGGGGAGAGAGAAAGAGGGAGAGGAGGAGGAGGAGGAGGTGGAGGAGGAGGAGGAGGAGGAGGAGGAGGAGGAGGAGGAAGACGAATGTGGAGTCCTTGTTGCTCTCTGAGCTTTGTTGTTTTCTTGAGGACTTTTCATGACCCAACTAGATAACATCATCAGCACCAGAAGGGAGGGAGCTTTTTTCTCTCTTTCTATACAAAGTTTTTTGCCCTATTGGTGGTCATTATCACTGATGATGTTACCTAGTTGGGCAATGAAACATTTGCACGAAAACCACCAAGCTCAGACACCACCAAAGACCCCCTCCGGTCAACCCAAATCTTCTATTCTATTGGAACTAACTAAACCAGCAGGTGGAGGAAAGATGTTCAGAAGTTCAGAATGCCAACATCTGACCTTGTGTTCTTTTTCCTCCTCTACCAAGCTAAAGAAATGGACATGAAGAGAAAAAACAAGAAGGGAAACATCGTGAAGTGGCTGAGGGAGGACTTCATTTCGGGCCCAGCAATATTTTATGACATCTCCAAAATGGCGAAGGTATGTTTAGTTCAGCCTTTTGCCTTGCTTCTTGTTGACCTTCCTTTCGGTCCTCCTCATGACGGGGAGACACTCAAAAAAGTCAACGTAACAGTGAGGACAGCATGGTCCAAAGGCTGCAGTTTGGATGCCCGTCCCCCACAATCTCCAGGAGCAGGCAAGTGCAGCTGCCATGTTGGCTTCTTTGACCCACCTCCTCATTTCACCTGATGGAGGACATGAAATAAGGCCCTGCCTTATCTCTCTACAGGGTGGGCTATCCCCAAACCTGGGTCAAAGCCTCTGGCTTGTCGAGAGAAAGGAGTCAAAACCCCGATGCATCTCCGCATGGTCTTCTTTTCTTCTTTCCGACAGGCCTTTGGTGAGCATCTCACCCCCTCCCAGTTAACGGACGTGATCCTGAAAGCCCTCGAGGCTGTCAAAAGTGTCAACAAGAACCTTTCGCAGGCTGCCGGGATGCTCTTGAATTCCTTGATGGAGGAATGTGGAATGGAGATGGAGGAAGTAAGAACATCGCCGGGTTTGGACTGAAAGGGATGTAGGAGATTTTGTGGTAAACAAGGAGGAGAATGGGCAAGACCTCGTGTTTCGAGTCCCACTTGGTGACACAACTTTGACGGGTTTTAAGAAGGCTAGGGGTAGAGAGCAGACCACCAAGTGACCTCAGGGCTGTCCATAAAGTCGGGTAAACCTTCCAAAAGAAGGTTAGCAAGAGGCATTTTGGGTTCAGTGGTGGTCATAAGTTGAGGACTACCTATATAGGTTGGATAGTGTGTTTTGGGGGCCGGCAGTCACAATTTGGTGAGGATATTTGGCCCCATGTATAGAGAGCATCTGCCCATCTATCATGGCCAGTGCAAATTCGGTTCAGTGCTGTCCATATCATACGAGGCTGGACAAATCAGGTGTTTTTCAAAAAATGTCAGGCAAACTTTGACATTGTGGGAGCCAATTTTTCCCCAATGGGTGGGAATTATCACCTCTACTGCAACTCCAGTGGAGACCAATGGTGGATCTCATCCTTCTAATCTCTGTTTTTGCCGCAGCTACCGATGATCCTAAGAGAAATGTACATGTGTCTCCCAAATATTTTGGACTCTGCCACCAAGGAAGAGGTCATAAAAGCAGTGTGCCACCTGGCTTCGAAAAGGCCAAACCGAGTGGTGGATACCATCCTGGAGGTCTCGGTGGAGTGTGATGGGTGAGAAGAACCTCAAGGAGAGGTGCCTCCTGTTCTCTGTACTCTACGGAGATTCTGAATCCTTTGTGATTGGGGAAAATACCTGTAGCTCGAGTGGAGGATGAGGGTGGAGGTTGGTTAACAGATTTAACAGATAATCAGAGTTGGAAGGGACCTTGTAGGACATCTAGTCCAACCCTCCGCCCAAGCAGGAGACCCTATACCGTTTCTGACAAATGGCAGTCCAGTCTCTTCTTGAAAGTCTCAAGTGATGAAGCTCCCACAACTTCCGAGGACAACTTCTGTTCCATCGGTTGATTGTTCTCTTTGTCAGAAAGTTTCTCCTTATTTCCAGGTTAAATCTCTCCTTGATCAGTTTCCATCCATTATTCCTTGTCTAGCTTATAGGCCCTTTAGAAAATAGCTTAACCCCTTCCTCCCTATGGCAGCTCTTTAAATATTGGAAGACTGCTATCCTGTCTCTCCTAGTCCTTCTCTTCACTTAGACTAGCCAGGCCCAGTTCCTGTAACCATTCTGTATGTTTTAGTCTCCAGTCCCCTCATCATCCTGGTTGCTCTTCTCTGTACTTTTTCTAGAGTCTCAGCATCTTTTTTATAATGTGGTGAATAAAACTGGATGTAGTACTCTAGGTGTGGTCTTACTAAGGCTTTATAGAGTGGTATTAGTACTTCCCTTGATCTTGATTGTATCCCTCTGTTAATACAATTTAGGATTGCATTAGCTTTTTTGGCTGCTGCTGCATGCTCACTGCTGGCTCCTATTTAGCTGGTTGTCCACTGAGACTCCAAGATCCCTCTCACAGTTCCTGCTATTGAGCCTGGTTTCACCGAGTCTATATGTGTCCTTTTGGTTTCTCTTGCCTAAGTGTAGGACTTTACTTTTCTCTACACTGAATTTCATTTTGTTAGATACGGCCCAGTGTTCTAGTCTGTCGAGATCCATCCGGATCCTGAGCCTATCTTCTTGGGTGTTAGCTATTCCTGCCAGTTTAGTATCATCTGCAAATTTGCTAAGTTCCCCTTCTATTCCCTCATCTAAGTTGTTAATGAAGATACTGAAGAGTCCTGGGCCTAAGACGGAAGCTTAGGCCAGTTGCGAGTCCATCTAGTGGTGGTGCTATCTATTCCACTTTTTTCTAGCTTACTAAGAAGTAGGTTGCGGTCTACTTTGTCGAATGCCTTGCTGAAATCTAAATATATTATGTCCACAGTATTTTGCTGGTCTACTAATTTAGTCACTTTGTTGAAGCATGAAATAAGATTGGTTTGGCACGATCTGTTCTTACCAAGCCTGTGCTGACTGCTCGTTATTACTTTATTTGTTTCTAGATGTTGGCCGATCTGTTTTTTTATTATCTTTTCCAGTATCTTCCCGGGTATCGATGTTAGGCTGATTGGTCTATAGCAGGCTTGTCCAACCCGCGGCCCGCGGGCTGCATGCGGCCCAGGTCACCTTGTAATGCAGCCCAGTGCCCACCCCAACCTTCGTGCCAGAGCCAGCGAGGAGGAGGAGGAGAGGCAGGCGCGAGGCGGGGCGGGGCGAGCGCCACACCAAGCAGCAACAGAAAAGGCGGGCGCCTCCTGCTGTTGCCGCCGCTGCCGCCCCTGCTTCTGCCCCTGCCGCCGCTGCTACTTCTGTCCCCGCCGCCACTGCTGCTTCTGCTGCCGCCGCTGCTACTACTGCCCCCGCTGTTGCTTCTGCCCCCACCGCCGCTGCCGCCGCCACCACTGCTACTCTTCCCCCACCGCCGCTGCTGCTTCTGCCCCTGCCGCGGCCGCCACTTCTGCCCCCGCCGCCATTGCTACTTCTGCCCCCACCACCGCTGCTGCTTCTGCCCCTGCCGCGGCCGCCACTTCTGCCCCCGCTGCCACTGCTCCTCCTGCCCCCACCGCTGCTGCCACTTCTGCCCCCGCTGCTGCCGCCGCTTCTGCCCCCGCCGCTGCCGCCGCTCTTTTCCAGTCCTCTGGTAGTTCTCCGGTGCTCCAGGATTTTTGAAAGATATGGTGCAGTGGTTCTGAGATGACCTCTGCCAGCTTCTTTAAAACTCTGGGATGTAATCCATCAGGCCCCTGTGATTTGTTTTCATCAAGATCAGACAGGTGTTCTCTTACTAGTTTTTTGCTTATTTTAACTTTTATTTCTGGTCCGTCTTTTACAGTTATGTTTTTGGTGGGTTGAGCTATCATTTCTTTTTGCGTGAAGACAGATGCAAAGAATGAGTTAAGCAGTTCTGTTTTCTCTCTGTTGCCTGTTGCTTCCTTGCCATCTTCTCTCTTTAGTGGACTGACTGTTTCTTTGATTTTTTTCTTGTTATTTCTATGTTGGAAGAAACTTTTTTTTATTATCTTTGACTTTTGTTGCAAGTCTTTGTTCGTTCTGAGCCTTTGCTATCCTGACTTCGTCTTTGCAGATTCTGGCTATCTGCTGATATTCTGCCTTAGTTGTATGTCCTTCTTTCCATTTTTTGTACTTGTCCTTTTTTTCTTTCAATTTGCCAGAGAGATCTTTGTGCAGCCAATTCTTCTTGGATTTCTTGTTTTTCTTTCTCAGTGGTATTGTCTGGTCTGGGCTTCTATGATCATACCTTTTAGAGTTTCCCAAGGTTCTTGAGTTGTTTTCCCCTTTAGGATTTTCATCCATGGAATCTTCTCCAAGTTCTCTCTGAGTTATTGAAATCAGCTCTTTTAAAGTCCAAGACTCTGGTGTCATTATGTTCTGTTGCTTGTGTTTGTGTTATGTTGAATTCTAGTATGACATGGTCACTCTCACCCAAGGTTCCTGCAGTTTCAACTCCCTCTATCACTTCTTCTCTGTTTGTAAGAATTAAGTCCAATATGGCTGTCCCTCTAGTTTCACCCTCTACCTTTTGGACAACAAAGTTGTCAGCTAGGTTGGTTAAGAACTTATTTGATTTCTCACATGGTGCAGAATTAGTTTTCCAATTGATATCAGGATAATTGAAGTCTCCCAATACTATTGTTGTGTGTTTTCTGCATATGTTTGTTACTTGGCTGGCAAGTAATTGATTGGGTGGCCTATAAAATACACCTATGGCCATGTCATTCTTTTTTTCTTTTATATTGACCCATATGCATTCTAGGAGGTTTTCATTTTATTTATTTATTTATTTATTTGATTTGTCAATTACTTACAAAATAATAGGTATAAGTATATACATAGTTATAAGTACATGAAATGGGTACATATGAGAAAAATAAAACAATAGGACAGGGACGGTCAGCACATTGGTGCACTTATGCACTCCCCCTACAGACCTCTTAGGAAAGGGGTGAGGTCAATAGTAGACAGTCTAAGGTTAAAGTTTTGGGGGTTTGGGGAAGAAACCACAGAGTCAGGTAGAGGATTCCAGACACTGACCACTCTGTTGCTGAAGTCGTATTTCCTGCAATCAAGTTTGGTGTGATTAACCTTGAGTTTGTATCTATTGTGTGCTCTTGTGTTGTTATGGTTGAAGCTGAAGTATTCATTGACAGGTAGGACATTGCAATCTATGATTTTATATACCATACTTAGATCAGACTGAAGATGGCATAGTTGTAGGTTTTCTAGGTCTAGAATTTCAAGTCTGGTGGCATAAGATATTCTTCAACGAGTAGAGGAGTGGAGAACTCTTCTTGTGAAATATTTCTGGACATTCTCAACTGTGTTAATATCAGATACGTAATGTAGATTCCAGACTGATGAGCTGTATTCGAGTATTGGTCTAGCAAATGTTTTGTATGCTCTAGTTAGTAGTGTGATATTACCAGAGAAAAAGCTATGTAGGTTTCACGTTATCCTACGTCGGATAACAACTCTTAATGCCTTTTTGGCTATGTAGTTACAGTGGGCTCTAGCACTTAGGTCTTTAGAGATGAGTACTCCAAGGTCCTTTACAGAGTTTGGATCATCAACAAGGTCTTGACTATTCAGCTTGTATTTTATTGCCAATATGTAAGACAGAGCATTTATTTGTTGAGATTTGAAGTTGCCATTTGTTTGACCATTCTGATACATAGTCAAGATCTTTTTGAAAGGTAGCAGTATTGTCTGTGGCATTGAACAGCTTTACATCATCAGCGAAAAGAACGCAGTTGCTCTTAATATGATCGCAAAGGTCATTTATGTAGAGTATGAAGAGAGTTGGTCCTAGAACACTGCCTTGGGGGACACCACTATTGACAGGTACAGAATTTGATAGGACACTCCCAATTTTGACCATTTGTTGTCTGTTTGACAGGAATGCTTCTATCCAGTTATGTAGTTGTCCAGAGATACCGGAAGATTTTAGTTTTAGGAGTAGTTTGTCATGTACCACTGAATCAAAGGCTTTACAGAAGTCTATGTAGATTGCGTCTATTGCTTTGCCCTGATCGAGTTGTGCAGTCCATATGTTTTTGCAGTTTAAGAGTTGCAGTTTACAGGATAGTTTTTTCCTGAAACCAAATTGTTTATTGGAGAGTAGGTTGTTTGTCTCTAAGTCGAGGATAATGGATTGGTTAATAATTAATTCCATGACTTTACAGGTGACGCAGCATAAGGAGATTGGTCTGTAATTTTCAACTAGGCTGGGGTCTCCCTTTTTGAAGATGGGGATGACCGTGGCTTGTGACCATAGTTTTGGCAAGGAGCTGGTCCTGAAAGATTTTTCAAAGATTATGCTTAGAGGTTCGGCTATGGCAGTGGATAGTTTTTTAAAGAAGTAGGCACATATTCCGTCCGGTCCAATAGATAGAGATGGTTTTAGATTGTGTAGTGCTTTTTCAACATTGTCTTCTGTAAAATCGATATGTATTAGATCATTGTAGTTGTCTGTGGTTCGGCTAGGAAATCCTGGGCATGATCCATTGCTGTTTACAAATACTGAGCCAAAGAATGTGTTAAAGATGTTGGCTTTAATGGTGTCGTTGTTGCAGTCTTTACCATTAGGTCCTATCAGGGGTGGGATGGACCTTGAGTCTTTTAGTTTGTTGTTTACAAAATTGTAAAAAGCGCAGGT